GTAGTCCAGGCTCTGGCCTGGTGCCCTGCGGGCGGGGAGTCCTTTGTTGTGGAGGCCTCCTGTGATTGTGGGGTGTTGAACAGCCTCCTGGACGCCGGTGCTCCCTCCACTTGGGATACCCTGTTATTGGGCATTGTCCTCTGCCCCTTGGGAAGCAGAATTGCCCCTGGTTGAGATCCTGGGGACAGACCCTTTTACACTGACCTCGGGTGGGAGACCTGCCAGGGCCGTCACCCGTCTGGGCACGTCTACCCTGTCAGCGTGGGCGCTGAGTCCCCCCACTTCAGACCCGCAGGGCGCTCCAGAGCTCAAGCGGCCGAGACACAGTGAGCTCAGCGTCAGCAGCCCCAGCATGGATGCCTGACGCACCGCCCACCCCAGCCGAGGCTGACCGCTCCCGTCGGGGCTCCGGGACCCGGGGTACATGGGCTGGCCTTTCCCCAGAAAGGCGTGGGCCCTGTGCCCGCTGTGCCTGTCACCTTGGAGACGTGGACGTGGCCTCAGACTCAGCCTTGCCCCGCGCTCCTGGCCCGGGCGCTGCAGCTCGCCTGGGGTGGGCCCAGCGAGCCAGCCCGCGAGACCCCACCCGGCGGACTCCCTCTGGAGCTGGGCGCAGCAAGGGGAGAAGCCACGCGCGAAGGTTGATTCTGCTGAACTTGGAATGTTTGACTATTAGATTTAGCTTTTAAATAGTTGCTCAATTTTAGAAGTTTATGTTCATTTTCTGATTTTAACGTTGCCCATTCTAGCAGGTTCGTGAACTAGAGTACAGCCCAAGAAACAGCTTGCCTGGGATCCCCATTATCCCACCAGCAGGAGGGTCCCTTATTAGTGTTCTGGCATATTTCCTTCTAACATTAGATCTTCTATTTTTTTTGTTTTAAGAGAGAACTGAGATTTTGTTTTAAATACAATTTGGTATCCAAATACACTGAATTTTTAGGTTGATTTTTCAGAGCAGAATCACTTTCCTCAGCAGTGGGTCTCTGCCCTTGCTTCCTGGGTGAGGACTTGCTCTCTCTGTGTTGGAAGGAACCGACGGTCCCAGGCTGAGCTGTGGCTGCAGGCGGGGGTCAGCGTGGCCTCTCTCAGAGCCCTCGGAGGCAGAGGCCTGACCAGTGAAGGCCGGAGCCTGTGGCCACAGCAGGCAGAACTACCTCGGCTGCCTCACGCCGGGAGGAACTGCGTGAAGCTCGGTGCCTGCTGCTTTGGCACCAGGCGCCTGAGGACCGTGCCGAGGCCTCCACCCTGGCTGCCTGCCCAGCGGAAGGGGGCGAAGGGGGATTCAGGACCCACCTCTCGGGCTGCCATGGGCTCCTCCAGCTCAAACCCGCGGAACAGGAGCGTGGAAGCAAGTGCCTAGGGCCAGTGTGTGCCCACCCTGGGGCCAGAGAAGGGGGCGTGGCCAACGGGTTCCTGGGGTTCTCGAAATGGCGCTGAGCAAGTGCGGCCCGCCTGGCGAGGCAGGGCCAGGTCTCTCTAGGTGAGGATCTTTCAGTGTCACCTAGGAGCTGGGTCTCCCCTGGATGCCCAGAGAGCTCGCGAAGGCACTGGCGCCTGGACCCCTCCCGAGGGCTGTGGCCGGCACGGCTCACCTGGGCTTGTGGGGAGGAGGGAGGTGGAACAGACAGTCTGCTCCCGGACTCTGAGCAGCCACGGGGAGGCACCTTCAGCCTGCAGTGTGTGTCAGGACCACGACATCCGCCCTGTCACCCTTGAGTGTTAAAGGCAGAATCGGCCATAAAGGCCCAGGTGAACTTACTCAGTGAAGCGGTCTCAGCCACCTGCCTCCATCCAGGGTTTGCTGGAGAAGCTTCTACAAAGGAGCCTGGCCTGAGGGTCAGCACTCCCTCTCGGGGGTTCGAGGTGCGTGAGGGCCTTCTCCCCTGTGGCCAGATGGATGTTTTCGGGTCAGTGACCGACAGCGGTGAGGTGTGGATCCCTGCTGCATAGGAGCTGAGAGGAGGGTCCCACAGGAGAAGGATCCTCATGCTACGTCTCGTCTAAGACCCTGTGTGGGGGGTGGGTGGCCCCATGAGGCTGGGAGCCCCACCGGTGCCGGGACCCAGCGCATGAGACCCCAGGGTGCGTGTGTGAGGGGCGGGGCTGCGGCATTAGTCTTGGACGCCCAGGGCCCGTCACGTGTCCTGCTTGGTGTTAGCAGCTCACCGGGCAGGGTGGTGGCTCTGCTTCTACCCCAAAGTTACAGCGCGAGAGACGCTGCCGTGTGCTCTGCCCCCCAAAGGCAGGGCTCCCCCGGCTCCTGCCTGGCGGGCCCCTGGCTGGGCCTGGTGGGTTCCGGCAGTACTGGGATGGGCCGCGGGGGCGATGTGCCAGCCCTTGGCGCTGCTGTCAGATTTGCGGATTGATTGTAGGTTTCCCTGAAGGACTTGCAGCGCGAGCATGTACCACCTAGTACAATACATTTCCGCGCTCACTGCCTTAGAAATAATTAAATGGAATTTTATTTTTCCAAAAAGTTCTGTAGACGCGGTCCACAGGGGAGCAAGTCACAGCCTCACGGCTCAGCCTGCCCGGGACAGGCTCCGCCCTGACTCACTGGCTATTTTCACTCCCACCACCAGCGCTCTGGCTTCACTGGCCCCGGTCTGCTGGCTTCGGGGGTACACGGAGGAGCAGGATCCTGCCGCCCAGAGCGGCCTGAGCAAAAAGGGCAGCGGCCTAGGCAGGCTCAGCCTGACCTGCCCGGGCGGCCCTTTCCCGCCGCTTCCCGTCCTCTGGCGAGTGCCATGGGGGGTGTGCAGCAGTTTCCTTTCTGGTGCAACACGGGCTGCTGTGTTGGGCTTATCTAATGAGGAAGCTGAAAGAGAGCCTTAGCCAAGACTCCCTGGAAGCGCTGACACTCAAGATACAGTCGGTCTGGTCTGCTCCATACCGCTCTGGCAGCAGGACCCTGGGGGCTGAGGACAGAAGGCTCTGGGAGGGAGCTCAGAAGCCCTCTTCTCTTGAGCCCTTGGTCACTCCCCTGATGGAAGAGGAAGCCATGGCCACTCCTGACGCCCCTTCTCATGTGGCATCCCCCTCCCCTCTCTTCCACACCCGGCCCTATTGGTGGGGGGTTTCCGCCTTCTCCCCAGTGGGTGGGACCTGGGCGTTCCTTCCTGCTCCTGGTCGTTTTCCCTCTGCCAGCTCATCTCATGCTGTTGTGATGACTCAACCTACCCAAGAAGAACCCAGAGGCGTGGGGAATTTTCCCCTGTGCCTGACGTCCCCAAACCAGCCTGTGAGTCCGGACAGTCTCCCCCTGCCCTGTGAAGCTGTTGGGGAGACTGCCTGTCAGTACTCCTCCTCCCCACCCCCAAACTGACCAAGGAGTCAGATAAAGTCTCACAGCGGACCCAGCCCATGCGTCTTGCAGGGCACCCCCAGAAAATGGGGACGTGTGTGAGCCCAGCCTCTGGCCGCCTTGGCACGCAGGTGCACAGGGTTTCTCCAGGTTGAGATAAGTTGGGAAATGGAAAGTTCTACACCTCTAGAAGAAAACCAGGACCCCACCAAGAATAATTAACTTTCGGGCCCTCCCTGCTGGCGCAGCAGGTGAAAGGGCAGCTCTATGAAGCTGTGACAGCCACCGCAGCGCGAGTTCCACCCCTGGCCACAGGGCGCAGCCGACCCCTCCTGTCTCCCTGCTGCTCCCCTCAGCAGTGTGTCAGTGAATCTGCCGTTTCTGCTCCCCACTCTTTGGTGAGTCCTCTCACCTGCACCTCTGGCCTGTACCCCAGTTCTCTGCATAAATAAATCTTTAAAAAAAGAATACTCTGCGCTAGCGAGTCACTGGTGCCTTCTGCACCGATGCTGCTCTGTAGTCAGTATGTAAACTGAACTCCAGCGTGTGACGGCAGGGACAGCTCAGACTCAGGCTGTCGGATTGCTTCTTGCGCTCCATCTCACTTTGATTCTCTTCTAAATTCTTTGTCTAACTATCCGTGAGGCATTTATTTACATCAGCGACCACCGGCAGAGTTTCCACAGGCACCTGGAAGCCACCTCCTCCAGCCCTGCCAGGCGGATGCCCCCAGCCAACATCCCACCGGGAGCATTTCTGTTCTTTCTTTTTTTTTTTTTTTAAGTTTTATTTGTTTATGCATCAGAACTGGGGCACTAGCCAGAGGTGTGGGGTGTGAGGGGATTCACCGAGACAGAGTGGGAACAGGAGGCAGAAGTACACTGCTGAGGTGAGCAGCAGGGAGACAGGTGAGGTCTGCTGCACCCTAGGGGTCACCTCCCTGGTGGGGGTGGGGGTGGTGGAGCTCCTGCCGCAGTGGCTGGGACAGCTTCATAGTGGGCTTTAACCCCTGGCACCCCGGGAGGCATTTCTGAAGGAGAAGCAGCTGCTCTGCCACTCCTTTTGCCCACCACACCCATTGCTGCCACCAGAGGGAGCTCAAGGAAGCAGAGAGCGAGCGTTTCTCAAAGCCCCGGTCAGGTATCAAGGAATGTTTCAGTCAATGACAGACCGCGCCCCTGTGACATCTCAGTGGATGTGGTAGCTGCCAGAGGAGGTCTCCAGCAACACGGGGGTGTTCCCGCAAGGGCAAGTTCTCCAAAACATGCATTTCTCAGGATGTTTCCCTGTTAGGTGAAACAAGACTTTAAAACATAACACATGCCCTTTTAACTATTTTTTAAAACTTAAAAAAAAAGATTTATTTATTTATTCATACAGAACAACTGGGGTGTAGCCGAGAGGTGTGTGAGGGGGTGAGATGATTCACCAGAGACAGAGTGGGGAGCAGAATGGGCAGATCCACTGAAACGCACTGCTGAGGAGAGCGGCGGGGAGACAGGAGAGGTCTGCTGCGCCCTGGGGGTCACTCCCTGCCGGGGGTTGAACTCATGTTGCAGCGCTGTGGGCAGTGCTGGGCTTCAACCTGTTGCGCCCCCAGGGAGGGCCCCCTTTTAACTATTTCTGAATGTACAACTCAGTGGCATTAATTCCTCTCATTATGCTATACATTTTTCATTGTCCATCTGCAGATTTTTTTCATGGCCCACCTAAATCCTGAACCCATTGCAGTAGCTGCTTCTCCAGCCCCTGGTAGCCCATATTTTGCTCTTTGTCTCTGTGAATTTGTCTATTCTAGATATTCCATCCAACAGCTGTCCTTTGGTGACTGGCTTATTTCACTTAGCATAATGTTTCTGAGGTTCAGGATGTGTGAGAATTCAACTCATTTTTCATAGCTACATAATATTCCCTTGCGTGTATAACCTACATTTTATTTCTCCATTCATATGTTGATGAACTCTTGGGTTGTTTCGGCTTTTGAGCCACACTGACTAGTGCTGCTACAGTGCTGTGCGTGTGTCATCTATGTCCCTGTTTTGGCATACCGGCATAGAGGAGGAACGGCAGTCACGTGCGACTTAGTGACATTTCGTGTGTAGGATGGTGGTCCCAACAGGCTATGTCATCTGGCGTGTGACAGGCTGTGCCATCAAGTTTTGTGTAACTACACTCTGTGAGTTCACACAATGACAAAATTGCCTAACAACGTATTTCTCAGAAAGTCCCCGTTATTAAGTCATGCATGACTGTAATAGGCTCAGTTGTATAGCTCCTGAAGTATGCTGAAGTCTTAAC